ATAGAAGTAACAGGTGAAAAACCTTTAAATACAAAAATAAGCATTTTGAATAAACAGGTATTATTCACAGTTACAGTAAACACATGTCAAGGTAAGTATTCCAACAATATAAAATATTTTTAGATGAAGTATAATGTCCCACAAACAATTATATTTTAACAGCATTTACTAATATGTATTTTAAGCATTAACAAGTCTATTTAAGTATTTACTCACAAATATAAGGTAAGAAGCCCACATTTTTTAACCATATACATCCAAGCATTTGGTTTTAGATTTATTTCTTTAACTATGCAGTGACAACTCTTAACTCACACCCACATTAACACATTTAGCTTATTAAATACATTTCTGCATCTAAACGGACAAAGATCTAAATGACAGTCCATGAGCTTACCGATAGCCCGTCACAATCAAAAGTCTCATTCCTCACAGTGGATGCACAATGCTTCTGCCGTCCTCTCAGTCCATTTCATTACAACCAAATGATTGCATTGTGTATATGTGCTCCCGCTCATTGAACTGAGCGCGAGCTTCTGATTACCCCAATTTAATTCACCTGGTCGCGAGTGCCAAGGCGCGCACAGTCACGTGCGCGCTACCAATGCAGAGCGGCACGCAGATAAGACGTAATGGAGGAGGAGAAGAGACAGGCTCACGGGAGACAGACACACAGCGCGACAATGATCACTGTACCGTGATGTAACCTCACTGCAAGCTAATTTTAAAGTTGTTAAAGCGTTTTGTACTTGCTGGGATTTTCTCATGTTTATTTTTTAATTGGCCATAAAAGGTTTGTGATAAAAGAGATTGTGCACTTGCAGGACTTTGGGTCTGTCTGTAAACGTTTGCTTGATGTTGAGCTTTTTAAAAAATGATTTTCTGTATTTTTCAATTCATTATGAGAACTGCATATAATGCTGTAGACATGGTCCTGTCTTTTCTGTTTAATTGTTTTCTAATTAAAATTTCAAAATGGATTAATTTAAAGAGGACCTAATATGCCTTTTCACAAAGTCTTTACAGGTTTGCATGGATTATTCCCTCATATTCTCCATTGTTGCGGCTCCTCTCTTCCCAGTCTGTCAGTAACGCTCTGTTTACTTCCTGTCTCTATGAAGCCCCTCCTTCTGAAAAGCACACTGTGCTCTGATTGGTCGGCTGGAGCAGTGTGTTGTGATTGGTCGAGCGCTTCGAGTGTGTTTGGGAAATGTCCCGCCCCTTTCCATAACCGCCAGTTTAACACACTACTAACGAACTCAACCAGGCCCCGCCCCTTTATTCTGCGCATTAATTATTATAATGAGGAATATTGTGACGTGTTCGTTCCCGGAAGAAACTCAAGACTACAATGGAGGCGTTTCAGGAGTTAATTGACACAACCTGTTCACTGTGCAGAATCTATAGATGATATAGATTGTGCCTATATATCAATATGCAATTTTATACTGATATTTTGTGATACTTGGCATTGTAGGATCTTTTTTATAAATCTGTTTATTGGTGCATTCACATCATGGCAATCAATATGTCCTAACTATCGCCTTTAGTCATGTCCTAACAGTCATGACTATTTACTTTATAACAGCTTCTTGTATCTTATTGCTTAATTCAATCCAGATTTTAATGAAAGGGCCTTTAGAGGATTTCACAGCTTTTGTTTGTGAGAAACAACTAGATGCCAATTATTATGTTTTTGCTCTAATTGTTGTATATTTGGAATCGATTACGTTTCTCTCCTGTTAGACTGTGTTGTCCATTATAAACACAATTTATTCTGTCCCAATAGATGGAATTATTTAAGTGTGGGTAATTTGAAATATCAATTTAGAGTTTAGCATAAAGAGATTGGCTATTGAATTGTGTACATGTGTTGCATGTGTGATTTCTCATGAACATGTCTGGATCATACCTCACCCTATATAATAATAAAAAAATTTTTTTTTTTAATTGCAATGCAGTTATGAAGAAAAAGGGAAAAAAACACACTTCTATGACCAATATATTCCAATGTTTGAGTCACACACTCTTCCCCAGCTGTTGCATAACTAGTGTTGCAATATAATGATGTTTTTGCAAGCTATGGTGTGTGTGTGGGATCTTTTCCGTTCTCTTCACGGTGTGTTAATGTCTTATGCACATGCCTGTGTCATTCAGGTGCGAGGATTTATTTGTTAAGAAATGCCGATGCTGTGAAAAGCAGTTTGTCCACATTGAAAGCAATTCACAATGTTTTAATGTGCAGTTATATCACTTATATATTGCTGTCAAGGGATTACATTTTTAATCTGATTCATTACATGATGTGCCGATTAAGTAATCAAATTAATCGCAAATTAAACCCACATCAATTTTGGCTGAGAAATTACGATAATTTAAAATCATTATTGTGTTAGAGATGAGAAAGCATTGAATAGATATTATAAATATCTATATAGAACCCTAGGGTTCTCGACTAAATTTTAAAGAACCCTTAATGCCAAAAAGGAGAATATTTAAGGAGAAATGTCTTCAATTGGTGCATAATACTAAATGTTTTCTAGTGATAAAGAGTGTGTTTACAAATAAAGTTTAAAACTAATTAATTAAAACTAAATCCATACAATGATCTCTTGATGGAAACCCTAAAATGTTCAATAACCCCTTCATGCTTCTTTTCTTCTAAAACTTAAAAAGCAACATCACATTGATATTCAGAAAAAAACTTCACTCTTGCTTGTTTGATATTGCTAAACTAGATCACATACAATATAATTAGACAAAAACACATAAAATGGCTTTTTTTTGCTCTCATATCTTCAATTTTACCGGCATTTTAACTGCGTTCTAATCACACAGTCAAAAATAAGTAAGTAATAAATAATTATTAATAAGTTAATAATTGTAGCGTGTTATTTTCCCCCCCATAATTAATCGCACCAAATAAACACGTTAAATCAACAGCCCTAAATTATATGTTACTATATGTAGTGATATATTTTCTGGACCAATGCGATTTAATAATAAGAGTTATCAGTCATGATGTCATATGAATCGAAAATAAAATAACACATTTTTTATTTATTATTATGTTTATTTTCTTTCTCTCAATTCAAATGTGATGTTATATTTGGCTGTCCCTGAACCCCTGGCTCTTTTGTATTCTGTAATTAAATGTTTAAATTAATATATATATATTTATATATATATATATATATATATATATAATCCTGTTGCTATTTGTAGCTGGTTGAGACAAGCACTCATATTTACACTGACGAGAGCTTTTATCGCAGTAATGACAGTCTAATGGAAAAAATCCAGATGCATCACACTAATGAGAATATGCACTTAATTGACATGAAAATGATGGAAAAATTCTTGATGGCCCCAAAAATAGTCTTTGTGTTATTTCTGCGTTCTCGGTGGATCTGAGATGGGGGTGTCTGTGGGTCAGTCCCTTCTGGATTCATTCCTCCTGCTTTGAGAGATGGGAGAGGAAAGATCCTTGATCTCAGGGAGTCGGCAAAGCTAATTACTCCTTAAGGGAAGCGGAAAGGGATAAATGGAAAAGCTCAATTAATGCTGGTTGTCATTACCAGTCTATTTGCTCAGGTTGAGGCGTATAAAAAGCCCTGGTAATGTGAGAGTAGATGCTCACCCACGATGACACGAGGAACGCTCATTAAACCCAACCGCTAACGCCTCAGCCTTCTGACGACGGTGACTCAAACACGACGCATAGTTATAGTTATTCATGACACAATCAAACCATTACGGGCATCAGCGCACAAACTGGCACGGTTTGAGTAATGTGATTGGGATGTCAGATGCCACCAGTTGTTTGTCTTCTTCAGGGAGTTGAGTGATGTGTTCAGCGCGGAGAGGAATACTAACTAGCTATACAAACACTTCCAAGAGGGTAATTGTATTGCTCAGAGATTGTTCTGTCATAACTCAGGAGATGTATGTAGGTTGCAAACCTTTTTAATTCCATAATTTGGTGATAAGTAAGGAATAATTGACGATTGGTATGCCACCTCGGGGTATTTTTCAATAATTCAACGGCCCGTCAATTATTCTGCTTATACTAGAGGTACCACACCTCAAAACAGTGTGCAGATTATGTATTTCAAGATATTTTTCAGGTTTTTGTTCTTAAAACGCTCTCGTGTGTAGGACTCATTTCTTACGCATCTCATTCCACGCCTCCATTGCTGATTCACAACGTCATTTTAGAGCTTGTAAAGGAGGATTGAGACATTGATAGCAGATTAATGCAGTTATTAGAGAGAGAGAGAGAGAGAGAGAGAGAGATTTAGCGTGTGTGAATTACCTGAGTCTGTGTGTCTCTCAGTGTTCGGCAGTGTCTCTAATAGTGAAACTGTAAGTTTATCTGCTTCAAAAACAGCGCTGTTATTTCCTCGCTAGTGAGAAGTGTCGTGTAGCTTTTACGTTGCTAAACTATTTCACGGATACAATCATCAGAGGAGCGCTGACAACACGTTTCTGTGTGAGTGTGTGTCTGTACTGTATGTGTGTGTGTTTGAGCGGGAGAAAGAGACTATGTGCTTTCTACACATAATAAAACATAATTTTGTGGCAAAACATGGTAATAATGTGTTGTTTTATCCGATATGTATTTGCTTGGTCAGTGTCGTCGTGAGTTTTGGCTCTTTTGCTGTCGTCGGCTGTAAAGACCTTTGAAATAACTCATTTGGCGCAGTGATATCGAGCTGTAATGCGGTCAAAACCTGCCTGGACTACTTTAGCCATGCGTTCCCCTGAAGATAATCGCACAACTTTATGAACCAATCAAATTCAAGCATTCAACAGCCTTGTATAAAGTTAAATAGAATGTAAGAAAAATTGATGCATCAGGAATTGATTTGATTGTAAACAACCGAATGCAACGTTCCAATGAACTGGGAAAGTTCATCCTAATGGGATATTCTGTAAATCTTCTGAGACATTTGTGGGTTATTGCCATTATTGACTCATATTTCCTTCTCTTTTTACAGGTTTCATCTATACATGTGGTGGGACATTAAAAGGGAAAAATGGGACCATAGAAAGTCCAGGCTTTCCTCACGGATACCCTAACGGAGCGAACTGTACATGGGTTATTATAGCCGAGGAGAGGAGCAGAATTCATATAGTTTTTCAGTCCTTCGCTGTGGAGGAAGAATATGACTTTTTATCTTTATATGATGGACATCCTCATCCTGCGAACTTCAGGACAAGGTAAGAACGGGAGATTGTTAAAGCACAGCCATGACATCAAAATGAGTTTTGTGGCTCTATGTACTCTGTACAACTCATTTAACATTTGGAAAATGGAGCAAAAATATTGATGACATCATTTCCTGCTCAGGGGCTTATGCAAATTGTGTCTGTGAAACGAGAATGTCCTTGCCACCTGCTGCTGACTGCAAATAGCAAATGTTGATTCATGGCTGTGACATCGAGTAAAGCCGATTGGCTATAAACGGGGAACGGGGAGAATAACGAGCTCTTCCATGTGTTTCGCCTCCACTTCCTGTTTCTATAAGAAATGTGTCCGCGTGGAAGTAAGAATAATGTATCGTCATTCTCACGAAATAAACACAGACAGTGATGGGAAGTAAAAGGGCCTTGTCTTTATTTTGTGGAAATGACAGATTTTTAGTTTTAAACTGATTTTTAGATTAATAAGTAGGCGTTAAATATTGACATAATCTATTACAAATATTATTATAAATGTTAAACAGCTGTTTTTGTATGTGAATATACAGTAAAGTGTCATTTATTCCTGTGATTTTCAGCATCATTACTCCAGTCTTCAGTGTCACATGATCCTTCAGAAATCACTCTAATATGATGATCTGATGCTCAAGAAACATTTATGATTATTATCAATGTTGAAAACAGTCAAATTTGTGTGGAAATCATGATAAAACAAAAAATCTGGATTGTTTGATAACTAGAAAGTTCGATGAACGGCATATTAAATTTAGTTTTTTAAATGTATTATATAGAATAACATTACACTTTTTTTTACACTTTTGTAACATTATAAATGTCTTCACTGTCACTTTTGATCAATTTAATGCATACTTGCTGAATAAAACTATTAATTTATCTTTTATTTGATATCTTACCACAAATGTTTGAATGGTATCCAATAATAATAATCATAATCATAAATGTTTCTTGAGCATCAGATCCTCATATTAGAGTGATTTCTGAAGGATCATGTGACACTGAAGACTGTAGTAATGATGCTGAAAATCACAGGAATAAATTACACTTTACTGTATATTCACACAGAAAACAGCTGATTTACATTACAAAAATATGTCACAATTTTACTGTATTTTTAATTAAATAAATGCAGCCTTGGTGAGCAAAAGAGACTTGAAAAATGTAAATGTTTCCAAACTTTTGACAGGTACTGTATATTTGTGTGTGTGTGTCTATATATAGTATATATATTCAGGTACCATATGACGTTTTTCCGTTATATACTCTATACTGAATGTACAAAATTTGGGCTTGAATTATTGATTTGGGTTTAAATGTTTTTTTTTTTTTTTAATTGTGTTATACCAGAGAGTTGCTGCATTACTCGTGTCATAACGCAGTGCTTATATGTGAATTATAGATCCGATTACCAACGCAACATGGGGTCGAAACTCTTCCAAATGTGTAAAAGCACACAGAATTAACCTACACTAACTCTCCTCTAATTAAAGGGTAAACCAATTATTGCAACGAAACTCTCCACCAGCCAGGAACAAAATCAGCAGTTGCAGCTGAAACTCACTCGTGGCAATTACGATGATGGAAAGTATTTATTTTACACCAATCTGGAATTCACAGACTCCGTATCCAGAAAACGACGCTTCATTGGCTAAACAGATTGCAAAAATAAGCGGCATATTGCACTAGTGATGTCATTTCCTCAGTTTTCCCTCTGTTAAAATGCCAGAGAGTTGTCAGAAAAATACATTTCTGATAAAGTGTTTGTTTTATTCTCTGAATACGTCCATTTGTGATTTGTTTTCGGTGTCACAGACGGTTTAGAAAGCGGTCCAGTTGATTCTCATGCCGGAAAGTGTTTATCTGCAACATTGACTCTTCTCTAAGCTCCGCCCCCTTTGTTACAGTTGCTCTATAAAGTCACATATAGTGATTTTCTTTTAGTAAAATGGGTTCAGTATGTTGCTTATATGGCCTGTGAAGCATTTTATCTGTGTTTTCCTTTAGAGAAATTGTTAAATGCCCCTGATTAAAATCTGCTAAGTGAATCAGAACGAGGCGAACGCTTCCCACAGAAGACAAAAGCCTCATTTGATGACGATTGCAACTGATAACTTTAGCATGCGTGAACATAACGGATTCTGCATACTATGTCATTCTGAACTCTTTAGTTGCTGACCTACATGAAATACTTGAGCAAAAGTTTATTAACATTATTTTACCTGGGAAAAAATATTTGTTTTCCATGTAAAAATTCTTCAGATCAAGATATTTACTTACAACAACTTAAGATATTGTGTCTTGTTTGCTGTAAATGAAGTTTATGCTTAAAAGAATGAGGTCAGAAAAATAATACGTTTATTTTTTAGATATGTGCTCCTGTTTTAAGTTGCTTGTTCTTGTAACACATACTACAATAGTCTACAGCTTTGAAAGATATGATGATGATGATGATGATGATGAATTTTATTTATAATGCACTATACATGTGACATCAAATCTC